AGCATGGTACAGGCCCTTCGCCCACGATGTTGTGCCGAACTTTTACCCTAAACCTAACGTCTATCTAACCTCCACCCCTACCTTATACTATCATCCATATGCCTATCTAATAGCCGCTTAATTGCCCCTAATGAGTCCGACTCCACTACCCTCTCCAGCAATGCATTCCACGCCCCGACCACTCTCTGAGTAAAGAACCTACCTCTGACGTCTCCCCGGTATCTACCTCCACTCACTTTAAAACTATGCCCCTCGTAATAGCTATCTCCACCCGAGGAAAAAGTCTCTGGCTGTCTACTCTATACCTCTGATTATTTTGTACATCTCTATCAAGTCACCTCTCACCCTTCGTCATTCTAAAGGGAAAAGCCCTAGCATTCTCAACCTTTCCTTGTAAGACCTTCCCTCCATTCCAGGCAACATCCTGGTATATCTCCTCTGCACCTTTTCTAACACTTCCACATCTTTCCTGTAATGAGGCGACCAGAACTGGACACAATACTCCAGATGGGGCCGAACTAGACTTTTGTATAGCTGGAGCATAACTTCACGGCTCTTGAACTCAATCCCTCTATTAATGGAAGCTAACACACCATACACCTTCTTAACAACTCTATCCACCTGGGTGGCAGCTTTCAGGGAACTGTGGACATGAACCCCAAGATCCTTCTGCTCCTCCACACTGCCAAGAATCTTTACATTAACCCTGTATTCTGCTTTCAAATTTGTCCTTCCAAAATGAATTACCTCACACTTCTCAGCCCAGCTCTGCATCCTATCAATGTCCCTTTGTAACCTAGAACAGCCCTCCGCACTATCCACAACTTGACCCACCTTCGTATCGTCCGCGAACTTACTAATCCACCCTTCCACTCCTACATCCAGATCATTTACAAACATCACAAACAGAGGACCCAGAACAGATCCTTGTGGTACACCACTCGTAACTGAGCACCATGTTGAATATTTTCCGTCCACTACCACCCTTTGTCTTCTAAGGGTCAGCCAATTCTGAATCCAATCTGCCACATTTCCCCCTATCCCATGCCTCCCTACTTTCTGCATGAGCCTACCATGGGGAACCTTATCAAATGCCTTACTTAAATCCATGTATACCACATCCACCGCTCTACCTTCATCCATGTGTTTGGTCACCTCTTCAAAGAATTCAATAAGGTTTGTGAGGTATGATCTACCCCTCACAAATCCATGCTGACTATCACGAATAAAACTGTGCCTATCCAAGTGATCATAAATCCTGTCTCTCAGAGCCCTTTCCAATAATTTGCCCACCACTGAAGTAAGACAAACTGGCCTGTAATTTCCGGGGTTATCCCTGTTCCCTTTTTTGAACAAGGGAATGACGTTTGCCACTCTCCAATCTTCCGGCACTATACCCGTGGACAGTGAGGATGAAAAGATCATCGCCAAAGGCCCTGTGATCTCTTCCCTCGCTTCCCATGGAATCCTTGGATAAATCCCATCAGGTCCGGGGGAATTATCTATCTTCAGGTTCCTCAAAATTCCTAGACTACATCCTACTCCTTAAGGAACATAAGGATGTTCCTTACTAACATCCACCTCCTGTAGCCTACCAGCCTGTTTCACATTGTCCTGCCCTACAACTATGTTCCTCTCAGTTGTGAATACCAAAGAAAATTATTCATTAAGGACCTCTCCTATCTCTTTAGGGTCCGTACACAAATTCCCTTTACAATCCTTGATCGGCCCCACCCTTTCTCTGGTCATTCTCTTATTCTTCATGTACATGTAACAAGCCTTGGAGTTTTCCTTGATCCTATCTACCAAGGTTTTCTCATGCCCCCTTCGAGCTCTCCTAAGCCCTTTCTTCAACTCCTTCCTGGCTAACTTGTATCCCTCTAGAGCCTTTTCCGATCCTATCTGTGTCATACTTCAATGTTTCTCAGATCAGTGTCACTCCCTACAGAAATATCAGCACCTGCTTCAGCCACAATTCACATCATCTTAAATGAAGGTTAACGTTAAGTAAGTGTGCAAGCTAGCTTTAAGTGGTGTTAACCACTCAGTGACCCCTTGATGATTTGTCCATGAAATCAACAGTGAAGTGAAAATTGGCAGGACTCTGAACAGCAGGCAAATTTGCACTGTAATCAATGCGTTTGGGAAAAGAGGGTCTAAATTGCAACTGTTAGAACATATTCCTGCCATAATTTCCATTTCTCTTCCTCACACCAAAGGGTGACAAAGACGGACATTTATGCTGATTAATCTTAAACTGTTAAATTGTGTTTCATCACAACAACCATTACAATTCTCTGTTCTCCACAATCAAAAGTACCTATCCCTCAAGGTAAAGTCAAAGTTTCAGGTTCACTTTCTCAGGACAACAAAGAGAAGCAATAACTCTTAGCTGTGCTGTGATGCCCACTTCATGAGAATTAATATCTAAAAAGTCAATTCTCAGTTCCTATTCTCATTGAACCCTCTTCTTGTTTAATAATGCTCTTATAAAGTGCCTTGGAATGTTTTATTAAGTTGAAGGTGCCATATAAATCTAAGTTGTTTTTGTTTACCTCTCACTTCAAACAGAGTTTACCGATTTCTTTAAATCAAATTTGAACATTTGCGGTGATGTTTCTTCCACTTCTTCAAATCCTATGTCTAACCATCCCCATCTTAGGAAATCTGACAATTTTTTTTCCTCAAATTAGCACCATTTCTTTCCCTCTCTTATAAATGAGGTGATGGATGAAGAAAATTTAGATAGCTCTTCTGTGTCTTTTCTTTAATACGTCTATAGGTTTTCATGTCCTCAAACCATTGAATTGGATTACTGCCTCATTATGACAGACAACTAATTTCTCTCATTATTAATTGCTGTCAAACAACATGAGACTCAAATCTTCATTGGCTCAAAAGTTCCAAAATTTGAATAGTTTCCATACCTTGAGAGGTTAACAGCACCTCTAGTGTATGCTTGGTTACACAACTTCTGTCTCTTCATCCCAAACCTTCATCTCCCCTTTTAGTTTAGCAAAATCATGATCAGTGCTTTTCTGAAGTTTCCTCTTTTTTTCCCCTTCTCATTTCCTAAAATGTTTTAAAATAGGCCATTTCATCCTAGTTCACATTTTCCTAGGAACTGGTCGAATACCCTTTGCCGTCCTAATTATTTCCTTAATCTAAATATATTTAAACTTCCAAAATTGTAATTAGAAATGATCTAATCAATACTTTCTGCTATTTTTATTTTCCCAATTCACAGGGTAGCTTACCTAAATAAAAACCAACCAAACTTCAGATGCTATAAATCCAAAACAAAAACAGAAATTGCTGGAAAAGTTCAACAAGTCTGGCAGCATCTGTGGGGAGAAATCAGAGATGATGTTTTGAGTCGATGACCCTTTCTCAGAACTGATGGTAGCTAGGAAAATGTCAGTTTATATACAGAAGATTGGGTGGGGACAGGGGTAAGGAGTAAACGATGGGTGGGGATGCAGCCCAAAGAGAGAGAAGAACAGTTAGATAACGATCTAGCTAGGCGCATGAATAGCTATTAATGGAGACTGCTGGTGGCTAACAATGGGTTGTATGTAATAGCAGACTATGTGATAACAAGGCCTGGTGTGTCGGAGTTGGGGTAAGGGCATGGGAGAGCGCAAGCTGAACTCGATATTGAGTCCAGAAGGTTGCAGGGTCCTCAAGCGGAAAATGAGGTGCTGTCCTTCCTCCATGCACTGAATTTCGCTGGAGCACTGTAGCAAGCCTGAGACAGTTCTGAGGAAGGGTCACCGGTTCCAAAATGTTAACTCTGATTTTTCTTCATAGATGCTGCCAGACCTGCTGAGCTTTTCCAGCAACTTCTGTTTTTGCTCCTGAGAAAGAGATGTTGGCCAAGGAAGTGAGTGGTGTGTTGAAGTGGACTAGGTGTTGACTGGGTGACCACTTCGCAGAACACCTACATTCTGTCCGCAAAAAAGATCCTGAGCTTCTAGTTGCCTGTTACTTCAACACACCACCCTGTCCCCTGGCCAACACCCCGTCTCATTTTCCACTTGGGGACCCTGCAGCCTTCTGGACTCAAAATCAAGTTCAAAATCTTCAGGGCTTGAGCTCTGCCATGTCCTTAATCCAAACCCTACACATCAGGCTTTGTTACCACATAGTCTGCCATTACGCACAATCCATTGTTAGCCACTAACAGTCCCCATTAATAGCTATTCGCCCTCCTAGCCAAACCATTATCCACTCCTTTGTCTGTCTAACTGTTCTCTCTCTTTGAGGTCTATACCCACTATCGTTTACTCTTTACCCCCTCCCCCACGCGATCTTCTGCATATAAACCAACATTTTCTTAGTTACCATCAGTTCTGAGGAAGGCTCACTTGACTCAAAACGTCAACTCTGACTTCATTCCACATATGCTGCCAGACCTGCTGAGCTTTTTCAACAATTTCTTTTGTTAAAAGGGTAGCTTTCTTGCCAAAAATTACTAGTGGATTTGCACATTAGTAATCCAGTAGATTGCTATTCTTAATTTAGCAAACTCTGGTCTGATATTATTCACTAATTAAGGAGCAGTATTTTGTAAATTATGACAATGTTTTGTAAAAACAGATTTAATCACTTCTAACTTATTCCTAATGTAGTGAATTTCAATCATGGTCTCCTCATTTCTATTTAGTTCTTTTCTGCAACATTTAAGAATGCTTTTCAAGAAGTTTTGTAATATTTTGAAATGTTTTATTAATATCTCATACCAATGTCACATCGACTCTTATAATAGAAATCCAGAATACTGACTAGATTATATTATGTATTCCCACAACACTTGATAGAACTGTGATACAACCAAAATTAAGCTACAACTTAAAAGAGAAATGCGCATGATGAATTCTTACTCAGCAAAGAAAAATCAGTGATCTCTTCATAATAAACTTGGAGAAAAGCATCACCCCCTGAGAAGTAATGAAATAAACAATAATTATATTACAATAATTAAATGACTGTTGTCCTACCATTCACTATTAAGGAGGCTGCGGTCAGTTGATCCCCAGAATCACAGGTATATTCACCAGAATCTTCTAGCTTTAGGTTATGAATAAGTAACTCAAGGCAAGAACCTGTTTGTCTCAATTCATACTTCTCACTTTGATGAATTATCGTGAATCCTTTCCTCCATTTCACTGAAGCATTAGGTTTAGTAACCTCACAGTGTAGTATGGCAGTACATCCCTCTTCAGCTTCTTCATTCTGAAGCCCTTGTTTGAAAAGTATAGGAGCAGCTAAGGGAGACAGTAGTTTTGTTTGGAAATGTAAATTACTGTGTAGCAAGTCAAGTTCTTTCCAAGCACATTAAAAGTCAAAGGAAACATAAAGTTAGTCTTGAATTATTCACTGAGTTCCAAAGAAGGGTCATAGAAGACTTGAACTGTTTGTTTCAGATTTCCAGCATCTGCAGTAATTTGCTTTCATGAAGTTATTCATGCTGATGTGTTCAGTTAAGACAAAGAGAGGACTTCAATGAGCCACTAGTGTTGTGAAGATGCTTCATTACTAATATTTTTTGAGCACTCACATTTAAAGGATTGTAGGAAGTGGAGTGTCATTCCCAGACATTTGTGTTTTTAAAAAAAAGGTATTTGTTTAAAGACACTTGGTAATTAAGTTTGGGCTTATTTGCTGGAAATCACACACCTGGCTTTACTTTTAACTTTTCCATGGACAGTGTTAGGACTTCAGTTGAGGCATTGACCTTGCTGAAAGTGAGAAGCTATACAGTTCATGCTTTTCTGAGGAAATATTTTAGAGTTCAGTGATAGACTTGAAAAACTGATGCACAAGTTCCCCTGAAAAAACTTCTGAATGAACTGCATCAGCAAAGGTCCCAGCAACAACCGCCTGCATTTGGTGACATCCAGCTATGTGTGCCAGGACACCAGTTGAAAGCCATCTTGAATGTCACATACCATATTTTTATTTCCTTCAAGAATCAACAATTATTGATTAAAGTATTGATCAAAATTAAGCTCTGTAGAAAAAGTATATTTTCCCATGAAATGGTGTGTCTCTCTATGGGGCGTGTTGTTAATTTAGAAGAGTAAATATACTTTCACATTTCTAATTATATATTAATCAGCTTTATATCTTTGCCAAATGAGTCCTTTTTTCACAATTAGTCAATAATTATGTTGTTTCTTAAATAGGCCTGATTGATAGATCTTTTTATTCTAAAATGAACATAAAATGTATGATTGGCCAAATCAATAATTGGGTAAAGTATTTGTATCCAGTGGAGTGGTGGGACTAGAGAGCAACAGTGCATTCTATGACTTCAGTTATAACACTAGATTTTCAAACATAAGCCCATTTGAGTACGCAGAAAATAATGCATTCTAGCAGTTTGAATATTATTAACCATTATCAGATATCTAAAATATCTTTAATATGCTAGTAATATCTCAGATAATGCCACCATCATCATTTTTACTTTGTTTTCATCAAGGTTCTGAATTTTCCATTTTTAAAAAAATTTTCACTTCAAAGCAATGGGATGTACTGACGTATACGTATACACAATGCAACTGATGTCTCATAACTTATCAACACAAAGGCGGCAAAGGAGGCCAACAGGACTGATTAAGAAAGGGAAAAGAGTACAAGAGTAAGCTTGCAGGAGACGTAAAAGCTAACTTAAGTTTCTATAGTTATATGAACAGAAAAAGATTGGTGTAGCCAAATATAGGTTCTTTCCAGTCAGAAACAGAGGAATTTATAACCAGAACAAAGAAATGGCTGATCAACCAGATGTATGCTTTGGTTCTGTGTTCACAAGTGAGGTCACAAATAACACATCAGAAAAGGGAACACATGGTTTGGTGAGAGTGGGTATTGTGAATTTAGCAACGCCTGAGCATAGTAGAGTAAATGGTAGACTCTCAAAATTGAAAATGCATTCACTGACATTGATTACTTGTTTGAGGTTATTTAACTGCTGGAAGCAACAAGGTCAAGGTTAAGGTTAACCTAGATCTAATCTCTAATGTGCATCTTGATCTAGATGTTCTGATGAAAAGCACTGGGCTTGAAACATTAACTTTGCTTTCTCTCCACAGATGCTGTCAGACCTGCTGAGTTTCACCAGCAATTTCTATTTGTTTCATATGTCCAGCATCCACAGTTCTTTGTTTTATTTTAATAAGAGAGCATCCTTGACCACATCTGCCAGCTTATCAACGCAAGCTTGTAGAGGCTAACAGTGCAGTTTTGATGTTATTCAAATCTTATTAGCAAGTTTAGTACTAATACATGCCAGTGTAATTAGCAAAGGAATAAAGGTACATCTCAATAAATCATCAACACCTATTTGAAGCATGGCAAATCTCAAGTTGAGATGCACATTACGAATATGTGCTAACAGGAGGAAAAATAGCTGATTTCTAATTAATAGCTATATATATAGCTATATAAATAGTATCTTAATGTGCACAAGTATACTATAGGAGAACAAGAAGGAAGCTACAGCTCCAACAAGACATCCACAACACCAGGAGTTATCGATCAAACAAATGTGGGATCAGACATGTTACAGAAAGAGTTTTGAAACGGTCAACTCCATAAAATATTCCATAACGTAACGCATTATTATTTAATTATATGCAATGATTCGTGTCTTACCCTTCACTTTTAAGCAGGCTGTGGTCTGCTGATCCCCTGTATCACATGTATATTCTCCAGCATCTTCTACTTTTAGACTGTGAATCAGTAGCTCAACATACGGACCTTTTTGGTTCATTTCATACTTTTCATTTGGATGAAGTAGCAGAGATCCCTTCTTCCAATTCACTGGAGCATTGGGTTTACTGATCAGACAATGAAGACTAGCTGTACTATCCTCTTCAGCATTCGCATTCTTAAGTTCTTCTTTGAAAAGCACAGGCAGAACTAAAAGAGAAGGTAATTCAATTCATAATGATATAGTTCAATCAACATCCAAGTTTAAGTGTCCATTATAAATGTTAGTGAATGGGTGAATGGATGGATGGACGACAGATGGACGTGTGGGTAGGTGGATGGATGGATGGAAGGACTGATGAATGAAGGAGGTGAGACGGGTACTGATGTGTGAGTACTTAGGAAGTCAGTACTACAGTTATTCAAGAACCTGTCTAACATGTTAGAGTGGGAGGCTTTTGAGGATCATCCTGATAGGCAGGGGTCTATTAAATGTTCAATTTCCCAGGTAATTCCCATGGAGGTCAGTCAGATTAATGCAGCATCACAACACACATCTTGGATCACATATGTTGTCTCTTACAGTCAGGGGACCAGATGATCTGGACCACTATCTTCTTTTTCAAAAAAATCCAGGATATGAGCAATACTGGCAAGGTTTCCATTTGTCATCTATTCCTAATTCAAAACACCAAAAAATAAACAGTGGTGTATCTTCTTGAAGGCTTGATAAAGCTGTGTGGATTTTATAAAACTTCAACGATGGAAGATTAAAAATCCGCAATTTTCAATCCATGCAGTCAACATAGGACAAGGATGGTGGCTTTCATTTCCTAAAGGAAATGCAGGTTTTCACAAAAGCCTGATGACATTCTTCATTACTCATTCAAAGTATGTGGATGTCATTGACAAGAATGCCATTACTGCCCATCTCTACTTGCTCTTCAGAATGTGATGGAGAGGTGCCATTTTGAAACAATGCAGTCTGTGTCATTAAATTACTCCTATGTGCTAGTAGACAGCGAACTCTAGGATTTCAACCTAGTGATGATAAAATAATGGCAATGCCTTAACTAAACAGAGTCAGCCTGTCTGGATTAAAAATCAAACAAATCCTGACAGTTAACTGTCAATCAGCATTTATGGATGCATTTCTGTTGGCAACACCCTTTCCAAACAGAATGTTAATTCTAACAGAATTACTGTCAAGGAATCAGTAATTTCCTGCCCTGTAGTAAAAATATTGGTTTTCCCTGAATTAGTTTTCTTGTCAATTGTCCTGATGAATGCAAGACAAAAAGCTTTTGACAGAATGTGACATTTTCCAGCAATACCAAAGATATGGCAATATATTTACAATTCAGGATGCTGTGTGGCTTGGAAGAGAACTTAACGTGATGGCATTCCCATGCACCTCCTGCCCTTGGTGGTACAAGGTGCAAGTTTGGGTTGGCTTACTGTAGAGGAAGGTAAATTGTTGTAGTATATTGCGTGGACAGTACATAGTACATCTACAGCGCACAATCCATGTGGTGGCAATAAAGTTTTACAGTGGTGAATGGGGATCCGATTAAGAAAGCTCCTTTATCCTGGAGGCTGTGATGTTTTCAGTGTTGTTAAAGCTGCATGCATCCAAGTAAATAGTGAGTATTCTATCATACTCCGGCAGTTATGAGGAACGGTCACTGGACCCAGGACGTTAACTCTGTTTTTTTCTTCACAGATGCTGCCAGACCTGCTGAGCTTTTCCAGCAACTTTGTTTTTGTTCCTGATTTATAGCACCCATTTTGTTTTTTTATTTCTGAAGATTCAAGGGTTGTGTCACTGAAATAACAATGCCTGCAATATCTAGATGACTGTGTCAATTAGGTTTTTGGTCAATAATTGTGGAATGATGATGGGGGATTCAACAATGATTCTGAACTTGAATACCACAGGCAGCTGATTACATTTTCTCTTGATGTGGAGACGCCGGTATTGGACTGGGGTGGACAAAGTCAGAAGTCACACGACACCAGATTATAGTCCAACAGGATTATTTGAAATCACAAGCTTTCAGAGCGCAGCTCCTTCATCAGGTGAAGTGAGAGTGCAGAGCACACAGATACAGAATTTATTGGCAGAGAAATCAAGGGCAGAGAGATCAAAAGATGGTGAGTAGAGTGTCGAATAATATGTCTCTGCAGGTAACCAAGAGAGTTATTCCAGTCATTTAGTTTGTCTCCAGCTCTACCTTATTTTTAATTTTTTGTAATTATCTGTCTGCCTCTTTTAATTGGATTATAGGTCATCACTTCACTTGTTATTCAGCTGTTCACACTTTACTCACACCACCTGGAAATTCACAAGGGGAACTAATGTGTGATTGAGGTGTGCATAGATTAGTGGTGCTGATGCTTGCAGCTTGATTCCTGCCTGCACCGTTATTTTTCAACAGCTGGCCAATTAGCTGCCAAAGCAGATTGAGGGTGACTGGGCACTCTGAGGATGAAGACAACATTTCTGGCAGTAGCCACAGGATTGGCTAGTTTTTTTTTGTTCATTCATGGGATGACAGAATCACTGGCTAGGCTAACATTTATTGCCTATCCATAATTTCCCAGAGGACAGTTAAGAGTCAACCACATCATTGCTGCAAGTCTGGAGTCACATGTAGGCCAGACGAGGTATGATTGGCAGTTTCCTTCCCTAAGGGGCATTAGTGAACCAGATGGATTCATGATCATCATTAGACTCTTAATTCTAGATTTTAATTGAATTCAAACTCCACCATCTGTCATGGCGGGATTTGAACACAGGTCTCCAGAACATTACCTACAGTCCAGTAATAATACCACTAGGCCATCACCTTCCCATAAAGTGTTAATTGATATACTGGTACCCTTTTTAAAGTGTTGCCAGTATTCATGGAACGCAGCTGAAACCTTTCCAGGCTCAAACCTTTCATGACTTCACTGAAGCAAGCCTTTCCTGAAGAAAGCCATTCCTGTCGTATGTCTTCCTGAAAATCGCCATGCAGTCCAGACCTGCCCATGGGAGAAGGCTTATTGGTCAGCAAAGCAGTCATTGTGAAGGCTAGAATAATAAGGTGCTTGTTGGCATGGCAAAAGAAAGATTCTGGGTGGCTCCACAGTTCAGTGACATCTTCCTGCAGGTTCTCCTCCAGTTTATTCAGAAAAGGTGGGAGGTCCTCTTCTCCGGGGAAAAGAGGAGGAGGTCTCCTGAACTAAGGAAAACAGACGTTATAGCGGAAGTCAGTTAATGTGGTGTTATCCAGAAAACTGGACAGTAGAGCTGCGTGCATGAGAATGACCTTATTCAGTTTGTCTAGCTGAGTAACAAATTGCCCAACACCTTGGTTCCTTCAGGGATTTACAAATAGAAAAGAATGAGTGTTTAGCTGTTGGAAAAGAATTCACCAGCAAGTGGCAATGGGGTGACATAGAGCAGCTCCTGCAAAAGAATTGAGCACGACTCAGTAAACAGGCACAAGTCTATCAGTAGCTAACCTTACACACTTCAGTCTTATAATTTCCTAGGTGGTCTTGTATTAAAGCAGTGATCCATCTACAATATCTGCTTTATTGACAGCTACATATAAACATACTGTACTGTGCTGAAGACTTGTCCTTCAGAGACTTTCACCTTCCAAGGTAAGCTGGGGAGCTGACCAAAAAAAATCTATACCTCAAACTATATAGTTTGTTACTTGAAAATTTGCGCACCTTACAAAGTTAACAAAGCGTTTGTTCCCTCATAGCTGTCAACGTGCCTTTCATCAATATGATACAAACTTATTTGTGCTAAAAGCAGTAAGACTATCTTTTAACTTTCTTCTTGTAATGTAGCTCAGCGTAAAAGCCAGTAAACATCCAACCTTTGGACAATCCAGTGAGCTGCTGCAAAGGTGGGGGGGCAATTAGCATCCATAGCTAATGTTCAAATGAAGTTAAAACACAAAATTATAGGCTCTTGTGGTGTAGTAGTAGTGTCATTGCCCTAGAACAGGAAGCCCAAATTCAAGTCCTACCTGCTCCAGAGGTGCGTAATAACACATCTGAACAGGTTGATTAGAAAATATTTTTTAAAAAATACAAAGTTACTCAGGCCTCTCAAGACAGGCTTACAGTGAACAGAGCAACCATTCCACAGATTTGTTACCTTTGTTAAGGGGAAAATTAACTGTATTTTCCTCCACCCAAGTGCTTAAACAATTGCCAAAAATGTACAGTAAAATTCAGAATTCTCAAAGAAATATGCATAGCTCAACCCTTACAAATAATAAAGATGACTGATGTAATGTCTAGCTCAATGAGCTTAAGTGATGAACATTTTGAAAAGTTTAATCACTGAGTAACAATTATTGACCTACCCTTCACATTTAAAGATGCAGTTGTCTTTTGATCTCCTGAATCACATGTGTACTTTCCAGCATCTTCAACTTTTAGGTTATGAATAAGTAATTCAACACATGAATCTATTTGCTTCATTTCATGCTTCTCACTGGGATAAAGTACCACAGATCCTTTCCTCCATTCTACTGGAGCATCCAATTTAGAAATCTCACAATGCAGAATGGCCATACAGCCCTCTTCAGCTTCTTTATTCTGAAGCTCTTGTTTGAAAAGCACAGGAAGGGCTAAGAGATACAGCAATTTAATTCACAATAAACTAGATTATTTCAATTAAATTCTAATTGATTCATGAGTATCAATACCATTTCAAACAAGTTCACTAAGACAACAATGTTTGAAGAAGGTTTTCAGTTTTGGGGTTCTGCTACCATTCCTCAATCATCAGACCTCATTCTCATGGTGTTGACCTTAGAACTGATTGTTCAATGCTCTGAACTGATTGTCTTTTGTGTTGATTATTTCTATCATCCTGACATGAAAAATACCATAACTTTCTATAACAATTTAGAATGCTACAAAATCATACACCATGACAACATGTATAACATGTCTTCTACCAATTTTCATTAAGTCTCCATTAAGTGTACCAGATGCAGAAACTCCAGGTGAAATTTTATCAACTTAATATATTTTCCTGGATGTTGCAACAATTTTCAGGTCACAAACCTATTCGCTGGAGTAGCAGGCTCTTTACAAGGGCAAACAGAAGTCAGCTTCTGGACTTCCTGATCAATTAGAGAAAGCAAGCAAAATGGTATACCCACAATATCAAAAGGAAGGATGTCTAATTAAAGAAGAGATAACATGACTTGATAAGATTCAGAGACACAAGGTTGTTGGAGGCAGTCAAGCTGGGCCTTTGAGTTTGGTACCTTTGTTAATCACTGGCAATGCATGGCTATTTGCTCCACAGGAAAATCATTCTTGGATCATGAGGAAGCAGATGTCAGTGCTAACCTGTTGTGATAGCCTGAGCCTCTTGAGCTTGCATACATTGGGACAATTGATCCTCCATTTGTAGACCTTCTGTGGGGATCTTTTCTCCTTCAACCTACACCTCAGTCACTGTGAAGGGGCATATGACTATGGAGATGGTAGTTGATACTCCTTCTGCAGAATCATGTTATAGTGGAAAGCATCCCGCTCTAGACACTCCGCAGGAGGGAATGCTGTAGCCTCATTTCCAGTTGTCATGTCTCTCTGAAGGTTGGCAGGAGGGAATTGCAACTTGAAGCAGGTAAAGTACTCAAAGTGAAGTGCTTTCCATGGAGCTAGCAATTACTATTCAAGCACACTTTGACAGAAGCCTCTAGCTGGGCAGTTTTGCACCCCTTCAGTGTAACAACCTGTCAGCTTAATCAAAGCAGTATCTCCTGTTGTGCTATCACCTTCTCCTAACAGCCACGTTAGAGACAAAGTGTAATGTGCTTATCCCACTTGGAAAGAGGGGTTACACTAGGAAGATATCCTCCATTTGACTCCTTAATAATTTCAACTGCATTCCTGCTTTTGTGATGGGAGTTCCCGACTTCTACCAACCATCCCATTGATAAAACAGAAAGAGGCAGGAACATGTTATAACATTGAACCAAATGCATTTTTCCACTTTTCTTGATTTCCTCCACCTCTGAAGATCTCAGAAAATTCTTCCTCTATTTCTATGTAATTTCAGGCTTCTCTGCATTACTCTACAAAAAGTTCAATTCAGCACAGAATACATTTTCCTGTAAATTTCAAAGTAATGTCATACTATAATATAGACTGCAATTTCAATTTCCCAAAAAGTGCTGATTTTCACAACTTATCTGGTGCTAAAAGAAACATAATACACAATCTTTCTGATGCTAATAATTATGGATAGTGCAGTTGAAGAAATATGAAGAAAAGATAGAGAATAAATTATTCATGAAGTGTCATAGCTTCTGGCCTACCCTTTACTTTTAGAATCGCCATTGTCTGTTGATCCCCTGTATCACATATATATCGTCCAGCATCTTCAGCTTTTAAGTTATGAATAAGTAACTCAACACAGGAACCGTTTTGCTTCATTTCATGCTTCTCACTGGGATGAAGTAGCACAGATCCTTTTCTCCATTCCACTGGGGCATTCGGTTTTGTAATTTCACAGTTCAGAATGGCAGTACTATCTTCTTCAGTTTCCTGATTCTGAAGTTCTTGTTTAAAAAGTACAGGAAGAGCTGGAAAAGACAATAATTTAGTTCATGGTGACGAACATCAGCTAGGATTCAAAATTTATTTTTGGATTCTGTTTTACAAGCTTTTAAATGAGCTCATTTCAAAAATAATGCTTGAGGAAGCCTTTAGCTATCAGAGTTCCATTGCCATTCCTTAACAGGTGGCTTTAGAGTCACAGAGTCATAGAAATATACAGCATGGAAACAGGCCCTTCGGCCCAATTCATCCATGCCAGCCAAGTTTCCTAAACTGAACTAGTCTCTTTTACCTCTATTTGGCCCATATCCCTCTAAACCTTTCCCATCCATGTACCTGTCCACATGTCTTTTAAATGTTGCAATTATACCTGTCTCTACCACTTTCTCTGGCAGCTCGTTCCAATATACACACCATTCTCTATGTGAAAAAGTTGCCTTGTTCCAAGATTTGTTGTTAACTGCTAGAAATCAAATTACTCTTCGATGTTAGCGTAATTACTTCAGTGTCTTAATTTTTGTCAACTTGAATTCAAGAATGTCACAATTCCCACTAATGTCACAAAATGATATAAATTAATGGCATCTAACAAGACAACCAATCTCTTACCCATTCTTAATTTAGTCCTTATCATGGTATCACAAGCAGTTACACCATTCATTGTAACTCCAACTTTCTCAGAATAAGTTTCAATACAGTTTAAAATATAGTTTGCAAATTATAATACTAACATCTTTCAAAGAAATATCACTGCATGCATCAAATACAGATCATGAACTAGAAAACATGTAGCAGATTCCCAAAATGTGCTGACTTTCTACATAGACATAGTCTGACATAAAAAGCTAACATTTGAACAAGGGATCAATATTGCCAACTACAATGGACAAAACGGTGGATGAAATTTTATGAGAAGATGGACAATTAACCATTTATTAAGGGTAATGATTATTGGCCTACCCTTTACTTTTAGGAATGCGACTGTCTGTTGATCTCCTGTATCGCATGTATATTTTCCAGCATCTTGAGCACTTAGGCTATGAATAAGTAATTCAACATAGCAACCCTTTTGCTTCATTTCATGCTTCTTACTGGGCTGAAGTACCACTGATTCTTTCCTCCATTCCACTGGGGCGTCAGGTTTTGAAATCTCACAGTTCAGAATGGCAGTACTACCTTCTTCAGCTTCCAGGCTCCGTAGCTCTTGTTTGAAATTCACAGGAAGGACTAAAAGAAACAGTAATTTAGTTCATGGCGATGAACTTTAACCAGAATTCAAATTTGATTTCTGGACACCACCAAATTTCAAAATTAGCTTACTTCAAAAAAGTTGTTTGAGGAAGTCAATCCATATCAGAGTTCTACTGACACTCTTAAAGCTTCTCTAAGAGAAGCTGTTGTCTGTAGAACTATTGGATCAAATTACTCTGCTCTTGAATTTCCAAGAAAGGATCCCTTACCAATCCAGCAAATTACCAACCTATTTTACTTACTGGTGTTTGTTGTAAATTACTAGGATTATTAGTCAGCTAATAAGACATTATGAAGGGCAATGACATCCTTATTGACAGCATGCGTTTCCTAAAGTTGATCAACAGAATCACAAATTGTCCTGACTATCTCAATCTGACCTATAACGTTGACAAGCACATCACCACATATTGAGCTATTTTGGATATTTCAAAGGCTTTCAGTTGTGTGGCACACACAATGCTACTGTAAAAACTAGATCATTAGGTAGTCTGAGGAAATACCAATAACATTACTTTTTAGCAAAAGGCCATGATGTGGAGGTGCTGGTGTTGGACTGTGGTGGACAAAGTCAAAAATCACAGGTGCCCAACCAAGGGGCAGTGCTTCGAAAGCTTGTGATTTCAAATAAACCTGCTGGACTATAACCTGGTGTTTTGTGATTTTTGACTTTATCAAAAGGCAACAGAGTCAGAGTGAATAGTGAAGCCATAAACTGGAAACTAATCTTTAGTAGATGCCATAACTCACATCCTGGGCTTCTAATTGCTTTTGCTCATTATAAATGATATCGATGGTGGAATATCAAGCCATGTCAGACATTTTGCAGATGACTGTCTAGTCTACAGAGCAATTACCAAAGAAGCAAATAATCTTTACAAATGGGCTGAGATATGAAGAATAAAATTCAAGGCAAAGAAATTCAACATCACGCGAATCAGCAATACTCAACTGTTCATCAATATCAACCATTATCATCAAGCCAGGGGATCAATCCTGGTTCAATGAAGAATGCACGAGGGTATACCAGGAGCAGCACCAGGCATACCTGAAGATAAGGAGTCAACCTGGTGAAGCCACCTAACAGGGCTACTTGCATGCCAAACACCATAAGCAGCAAGTGAAAGACAGAGCTGAGCAATCACACAACCAAGAGATCAGATCTAATCTCTGCAGTCATGCCACATTCAGTCATGAATGGTGGTGGACAATTAAACAACTCATTGGAGGAGGAAGCTCCACAAATATCCTGATCTTCAATGATGGAAGAGCCCAGCACATCAGTGCAAAAGATAAGGTTGAAGCTTTCGCAGTAATTTTCAGCTAGAAGTGCCGAGGGAATGATCCGTCTCAGCCTCTTCCAGTGGTTCCCAGCATTATAGGTACCACTCCACACGATATCAAGAAACAGTTGGAGACACTGAATACTGCAAAGGCTATGGGCCCTGACAACATTCTGGAAATAATACTGAAGACCCGTGCTCCAGAATTTGCAGCTCCCCTGGCATCTACCCAACAATGTGAAAAATTACCCAGGAATGTCCTGCACGTAAAAAGGAGGACAAATCCAACCCGGCCAATTATCACTCCCATCAGTCTACTCACAATCATCAGTAAAGTGATGGAAGGTGACATTAATAGTGCTATCAAGCAGCACCTGCTCAGCAATAACCTGCTCAGTGATGCCCAGTTTGGCTTCCACCAGGGCCACTCAGCTCCTGAGCTCATTACAACCTTGGTTCAAACATGGACAAATGAGCTGAATTCCAGAGGTGAGATGACACTGACAGCACTTGACATCAAGACTGCATTCAATCAAGTGTGGCATTGAGGAGCCCTAGCAAAACTGGAATCAATGGGTATCAGGGGGCAAACTCTACACCTGTTGGAGTTATTCCTGACACAAAAGAAGACGGATGTGGTTGCTGGAGGTCAGTCATCTCGGTTCTAGGACATCTCTGCAGGAGCTCCTAAAGCTAGTGTCCCAGGCCCAACCATTTTAGTTATTTCATCAATGACTTTTCATTCATCATAACATCAGAATTGGGATGTTCGCTGATGATTGCACAATGTTCAGCACCATTCACAACTCCTCAGATACTGAAGCAGTCCATGTTCAAATGCAACAAGACCTGGACAATATCCAGGCTTGGACTGACAAGTGGCTAGTAACATTTGTGGTGCACAAATGCCAGGCTATGACCGCCACCAATAAGAAACAATACTGCAGCGAGTAACCACCCCTCATTCCCCAAAGCCTACCCATCATCTACAAGGCACAAGTCAGGGAGCAAACTCTCCGGTGGTTTGAGTCATACCTGACACATAGGAAGACAGTCACAGTTTTTGGAGGTCAGTCATCTCAGCTCTAATACATCTCTGCAGGAGTTCCTCAGGGTCGTATTCTAGGCCCAACCATCTTCAGCTGCTTCATCAACAACCTTCCCTCCATCATAATGTCAGAAGTGGGGATGTTCACTGGCAATTGCGCAATGTTCAGTACCATTCGCGACTCCTCAGATATTGAAGCAGTCCATGTTCAAATGCAACAAGATCTGCACAATATCCAGGCTTGGGCTGACAAGTGGCTAGCAACATACATGCCACACAAATGCCAGGCTTTGACCATCGCTAACAAGAGTCAATCTAACCACCACCCCTGACATTCAATTATGTTACCCACTATCAACATCGTGGGGGTTATCATTGACCAGAAACTCAACTGAACTCACCACACAAACACAGTGGCTTCAAGAGCAGGTCAGAGGTTAGGAATACTGCAGCAAGTAACTCACCTCCTGACTCCCAAAGACGGTCCACAGTCTACAAGGCACAAATCAGGAACGTGTTGGAATATTTCCCACTTGCCTAGATGGGTGCAGCTCTAACAACACTCAAGAAGCTTGACACCATTGAGGACAAAGCAGCCCACTTGACTGGCACTACATCACAAGCATCCACTCCCTCCACCACTGACGCTCAGTAGTAGCCGTGTGTGCTATCTACAGGTATTTCTGCTTTCACACATGTTTTATTAATGCAAGTTGTCTGTAACGCGATGGATGAACAGTAGATGCTGTTTGGATAATGTGAACTTTCTCCTGTACATTATAGCAATTTTCTATGGCGATTTTCTATAGCACGAGGTTGTACAAGAACGCAACTATCCTGTAATAGGATAACTACCTGTACAAGATGCACTGCAGAAAATCACCACAAATCCTCAGACATTACCTTCGAAACCCACAACCATTTCGTCTAGAAGGACAAGGGCAGGAGATACATGGGAACACCACCACCTTCAAATTTCCCTCCAAACCACTCACCATCTGACTTGGAAATATATCACTGTTCTTTCACTGTTGCTGGGTCAAAATCATAGAATTCCCTCCCTAATGGCACTGTGGGTCAACTCACAGCAGGTGGGCTGCAGTGGTTCAAGAAGGCAGCTCACCACCACCTTCTCAACGGCAACAAGCGACAGGCAATAAATGCTGGCCAGCCAGCGACACCCACATCCCACATTATGAATAAATATAATTAAACTAAAAAATTCATAAATTCCCCCCTTAGAAGTTACTTCAAAATCCTGTTACTTCGGAATCCGCAAAGTTTAAAGTATGTAGTCAATAAGGAACTTCCAAGGAATCCAAGATGCTTGCGTTTTGAAACAGAATACTCATCAGTTTATAACTACAGTAAAGATAATGATATACCGCACCTTAGTCAGCCACCTCGTGTACTGTATAGCCACTTGAGTTTCAAGTACTGCTAAAAACACTATCCTCCTTGAGAAAGTTTAACACTATGTTTTGTTGTAAGCAACAATTCATGAAATATTAGTATTTTCTAATTGGTCATGTTGCTTGACTGCTGCAGTCTCCAGTACCAAGGAAAGCCCATAGTTTGATAAAAATTTTAACGGACAATTAAATATTTTTAAGTATCTAAGTACATCAAGCCCAATGGTGACCAAGCTAGAAGAGTTCAGAACCAACAGCTCCAACAAGAGTATGAACTCCCACGTCTCCACCAAGAATAATTTAAGGACTGGAACAAACTTCCACCAACCTTATTCTTCATGCCTTCCAAGGACTCACTTAAGGAAAATCTGCTGAACTTAATTAATGCGACCACTGATTGCACTCATTGTGCATCTTCTATTCAATTCTCTAATGGAAGATTACAGAAGACAATCTTACCAAGTCCATATACCCAAAACCAAGAAACGCACAAATTTTTACTTTCTTAATTCTTCATTTCTGTCAACTTTAACTGAAGAACGTTACAATTTTCACTAATGTCACAAAATCATGTACATTAATGGCATCTAACAAGACACCACCACCTGCCCATTCTTTATTTATTCCCTATTACAGCATCACAAGCAGATGTACAATTTTATGTCATTCCATATGTCTCAAAATAATTATCAATATAGTTTGAAATGTATTTTGTGAACTTAAATGCTCATATATTTCAAACAAATGTCACACTAATGGATAAAATATAGAATCCTGAAATAAGTTGCAATTTCCACTGCTCAATGTGCAGATTTTCTACAGTGCATTAAGTATTTATCTTTCCTGTGGACTCTCTTTGAGATTTTCTCAAATGTCACTTTTTGATTTTTCAGGAGCTGCCTCTTTGTTCAAACGAACTTATTTATTAGGTGCAGAAATTAAGGAATAAATATACCTTCTCTAATTATGTTGACATATGGATTCACACAAGAGCTGAATTAGAAGAATTTATCAATACCCTCAACAATTATCAAATTCTCCATAAAATGTAAAGCCACAACACACAAGGAAAACATTAGATTTTCAGACACCACAATATTCAAACTGGTACCAGAAAACAGGTATAAACTTAGTAACATGATTTTTTTTCTCAAAATGATTGATTTACACAAAAATCCACTACTGTCAATCCAACTTTAATCAACTGGTGATGTCGCACATATTGTATTTCCATTACAAATGCACAAAGTGGAAGATTCAACCAGGCATTACTATTTTTTATTGCATCTCAGATCTCAATCTTAAATATATACTTAACAATTGTCAATGTTCATTACATTAGCATTAACTACATTTTCCTCCATTTAGGAGCTCTTGAAAAATGCAGTCTTATCCCAAAGATTACATATTTATCTGCAAGGAAATCATCATCTCAGTGATTTTAAGCTTGCCTGGCCCCTGGTTAGGCAAGTACTCTTGCTGATTAATTTAAAACTTTTCTCTTTTGTAGCCTTTCTCTCACCCCAACTTGCAGCTTCCCCTCTTCCTGCAATCTCCCCTTCTCTCCCCTTTTTAGGTTCTTTCCCCAATCTCTTGTCATCTCTCCCTTGCTCGAAAACCCCACTTCAGCCTACCCTTCTGCCTCAACCTCCCTTGTAGGTTCCCTTCTCTGAAAACCTCATTGCATCATCCACATTCTCATTGTAGCTGTGCCTTCTCCTCCAAATTCCCTTGATACTCCCTTCTTCAGCACCAACCCCCCAACTCACTTCAGAGCTTCTTTCTTACTCTGACTCCCCTTGGAATCTTTTTCTTATTCACCCACCAGAACCAGCACATGAAACTTCTGACAGACTGCCACCAAGACCTCAGTTCCTCAGCAAAAGGCTTCCCAGCAGCTCCCTCATGTCCCTCATGTCATTTTTCTCTTAGTTTCCCAACTGCTTGTTGTCTCTCCATCAATCCCATGTTCACTGCTGACAGACGGATAATAAACTTATCAGTGGCACACTACTGTCTGTAATCTTCCATTTGAAATATTCTGTGATTGGAGAAGCAACTCTTCACCGATTCTATGAATAAATTGTTGGATGAAATCTTATGACAGAGTGGACGTTTAACCATTCAGTAAGAGGAATAATTATTGGCCTACCTTTTACTTTTAGATTTGCCATTGTCTGTTGATCCCCTGTATCACATGTGTAGTTTCCAGCATCCTGAGCACTTAGGCTGTGAATAAGTAACTCAACATAGGAACCTTTTTGTTTCATTTCATGCTTCTCACTGGGATGAAGTACCACAGATTCTTTCCTCCATTTCACAGGGGCATCTGGTTTTGTAATGACACAGCTGAGAACAGCAGTACTATTTTCTTCAGCCTCCTGGTTCTCAAGTTCTTGTTTGAAAAGTACAGGAAGGGCTAAGAGAGACAGTAATTTAGTTCAATGATGATGAACTTCAGATAAGATTCAATTCTGACTTCTAAACACCAACACAGTTTCAAACAAATTCATTGTGAAATAATGTTTGAGGAGGCTATTCAATATCAAAGATCTGTCAACATTTCTCAACAGCCTGGGTATTACGTAACTTCACATAGTACAGCATGGTAGCAGATTATTTAGCTTCTGAAGGAACACGTATATTAATTCCTAATGTGTCCTAATCAGCATGGAATACTTTTTGTGATCTCTGCAAGTCTCAGGATATCCAAGAATTACTCCACCGAAATTCAAGGAAATCATAATGAATTCTTATGTTAAGTATACTATACCATTTCAATTAAACAGCAATGAAGAGTACTTGACCAGAGAACAGAGGCAGATTTATGATCCTCCTATTACATTTTTTCCTGTTCATCAATAACTTCCGGCTTGCATTACATTTTTTATTCACAGTGTATCTGTATGATGTGTTCATATTTCTTCAAATCAATTAGGGCTTTGTAATTCCTAAAATCCACATACTTCCTTACATTTAGACACTTAGCAGAATCTCAAAATTTGATTGTGACCACTCAAATTTGACATCAGACTTATCTGCGGTGCAGTCTTATTTTACCAGACCCTGTAGTAAAACTAAAGAATCAAATCTAACTTGGGCAGGAGTGTGTAGCGTAAGAACTAGTGGGCTTGAGTGGAGAAAAAGCAGAGGCCAAGACCATCATGGACAGGTGGTAAGAGTTCCCTGCTTAAGGTTAGTGCTAGGATGAAGCCTTCACAGAGGTGAAGATCGTCAGAGAGGGAGAGAAAAACAAGACTGGAGAGGACCAATTTTATACGTATCCAAAAGAAATGTGTGGGATTTAAAATAATAATCTTACTTAGATTCTGTGTTGCCTCCCTCCAGGTTAGGTTTTTTAAAATTTCAAGTTAAAATGAATCACTGATTTTCAACGCAAAATATGTCCCTATCCAATTCGGGCTACGAAAAGATGATGGGAATACAGCAACAGTAGCCAAGCCATTCTAAGTCTGCTGTTGATACCTCTCCTCATAGGCAGTCAGGATGAAAGTCGACCCTTGAGTTTCTTTTTTTTAGTTTACTATGATCTATGAACCTTGCTATCTACAGGGACTCCTCCGACTTTCTTTCTAATCTAAGATTAATGTGGATTCTGGTAGCAATTTCAGCCCAGTTAGCCAAGCCAGTTAACTAATGGATCAGATCGGCCACTTTTCTTACAGCCCACTCAATTTTACGTTCCATTGAATCCCATTCCTTTTCCATTTAGTTAATCACATAGAAAATTAAGTGGGGTGTAATAATAGTCTGAATGCCTAAAACGAACTCTACCCAAGAAAAAAATTAAAAACCTACTGTTTATGGTTAATCACGATTTTGCCTTGTGAACAAAATGTAAACAAATATGGTCATTGTCAAGAACAATCACAAAAGGCAACATTTCTTAATTTGAATTATAGGCTCTGATGACCGTTGTCCTACCTTTCACTTTTAAGGAGGCAGTAATTTGTTGATCTCCAGAATCACAGGTATATTCTCCAGCATCTTCTAATTTTATATTGTGAATGAGTAATTCAACGTAGCATTCTTTTTGTTTCATTTCATGCTTGTTACTTGGCTGAAGCAATATTGATCCCTTTCTCCATTTCACTGCTACATCAGGCTTGGTGACCTCACATTTCAAACTGGCAGAACCGTCTTCTTCAATTTCTTGATCATGAAATTTTTTTTTGAAAAGTACTGGCAAGGCTAAGAGACAGGAATTTGCATTGATTTAGTTCAATGGTAACTGAGTATGCTGATATAAATTTAAAACAATTCTACTGAATATGATACAGTATTCATTATTAATTTGAACGATAACATGAACACTTGCACTTATGCTCAAACACACATTAAAACTTAATACAATTGAATTTCCACATGTAAGTTTAGACTTTTACATACATACAAACAATTCCTTTCTCAATTATTTGTAACAATTTCATGGAAGACCCCCAGTTTGATAATATCAATTCCTATTCACAGAACAACATGCAGGTCAGGCTACATAAGAGGTGGCCCATGTCGAACCACTTGTACATCCTATATTGTAGGCAGAGATGAACCTACCTCATTTTAATCAATTTTAAATTTACATAGGCTAATTTTCCAAAGGAAGCTGGAATGCAGACTTAATGGGCAGAATCTAATGGGGTCCTGAACAATATGGGCTATGGCGAAAATGTGGTAGAATCAAAGTCCTGCGAGGCCTTTATTAATGTTGGGAACAACTCGCTGCATCTTTCGACTAGCTTCCAGGCATCAAGGCAAAATTCTTGGTAGGCAGATGCAAGTTGCCTATTAAAAGGGATTATTGATTATTAACAACCTCACCAACTGCAGATCTTGCCTCATTAATATGTAGTTTTCTATCTTTCACCCCACTCCAAGTAAACAGGATGCTGGGAATTCTAGACATGTAAGACAGAACAGGTTCCTGGCGACTTCAGTTTGAAGCTTGCTCCAAAGGAGCTTCACGTTGGACACCCGGCACCAATATCTCACGACATGCTCCATGGGCAAGAGACCTCCATGGGTGACCATGTTTATGGACATCAGTATCCACACTGTTTTGTTTCAGCCTCTAAGAACCCACAATGACACATCTCCGATTTAGTTTTAGTATGTTTCTGCAAGTCAATGATGCATCTCGGGTGTCATGGCAGCTATCATTGTAATGCAGCAAGAGCAATTTGCACTCGGGGTAAGCGGCCAGCACTTGGACTGGACCAGCCTGCATATCTGGCCTGTTCACTTGCTCTCTTAGTCCTCACTCACTTTGAGCCCACCTGGATGCTCACAGCATCCCTGCCTAGTCTTTACTTTTACTGCTTTGATACTTCAGCCAGAGATACCAGGCTCACAGTACTGCTGTATTGATGTGATGTTTTGCATACACACAGTGCCACAAAGCTTAGCATGGCAGTCAAAAGATAACCTTGGATCAGCAGTCCTGGCACAGTAACTTAAGGGCAGCCTGCGATACAGTCCGGAGGCTTTGGCATTGTTAGTCAGCCTCTTGGAGTGATCAGTCAGGATTCTCTCTTCATAAGGGATAAAGAGCTGAAAATTGGGGTAGCCCATCACCCATCTTGACACTTTGTGCCCAACTGGAGGCCTTTTCCCTCCTGAAATGAAAGGGGCACATATTAAGGGAGATGAAAGTGGATGGCACAGCTGTACTTCAGCTGTATTTTTGGTGCAGGTGGGAGGTACCATGTGCATGTGAGTAGGCAAGGTAGAGAGCATGCAATGTGGTGTCAGGGGTTGGGGTAGGTAAGAGTGAGTGAGAGAAAATGTTTCATGCAATAATGAGAATGGTACAGCATAAACCTTGGTTGGAAGTGGAAGCAGCAGAGAGACAGTGTGCATATTAGGGAAAAGATAGTGGCACTTACGCTGGTGAGGTAGAGAAGGTCATTGGCCTTCTTCCCACATTGCTGTGTATTCCTCCAGATGGCTGTGAAAGCAATAACCTGAGTAACGACCTCAGACCAAGCTGGCATGATCTGGTGCTGTGGTCATCCCTGCTGATCCCTGGGAATAGGATGTCACATCTTTGTAACACAGGACATCCAGAACCCTGCCCACAAAGCAGAGTGACAAGTTTTCTTCTTTGCCATGTCTGGGGCAAACGTCAAGACCATGCAGGGCAGGTTGCCAGTGTCTGTCTGGGTGCACCACCCTTTCAACGATGGTGTCAACCCAAGGGATACTGGCTCATTCCGGGACACTCCAGCAGTGGTAAGTTGTTCTGGGTACAGCAAGTGTTAGGAATGGGCTAGAATTGGACAAGAGGGGTGCTATTTGTGTTGGGTAAGTAATTACTGAGATAAGTTTGGTAAGGTGCAGCAAGAGAGTTTGCTAGCCCTTGCAAAAGAAAACCCTGCATGAAACTCAGCAACACTGACAGCCAAAAAAACACAGTTCAGTTCAATGAAACTGTTAAGCAAGACTGAATAACAATAAAGTTGGATGCTTTCTTGGAAGGACCTGAATCGCAATATGTTGCGCATGTCTGAAACTCGTAGCCACATTGAATGCTAGAGAAAGGACAAATTGTAATTTAACTATCTAAAGCAGATGCAAACAAAAAATAATCCACGCCAGAAAATAAAAAAAAGACTTTAAAACCAAAAACTAGGATATGGCTTGGCTTGGTAAAGGGAGTATAAATATATCCTGCTCATTGATAACATATACTGAAACTACGGCATAAACAAATCACAGATCAGATCAAGGCCTTGATGACTCAGTGATCAAAGAAATCAGGTGACTGACATGAGAAAAGCTGATGTCTCCTAATGCATGTATACCTCTTAAATCAAGTTGGCAAGGTTGCTGCATACCATTCTCTCAGGTCTAACTCTGAAACTGTCATCAAATCTACTTACAAAGGCAGTCCTAATATTTAGTTTACTGACCTTAGTCTAACAGAGGCTGAACACCAACTCTCTGACACTTCCACTAAGCTCTTCCTGGATCATTGCCCCATTATCTAATATCAAGCCATTGCGTCCAGAACTATTGGTCACCTCATCTTCTCTAGTGATTTTTTTCTCCACTGCTTCCAACTTCATGGTCACACAATCCTGAACAGCCCAATTCTGCCTCCTTCTAAAATCATAAGTAAGTTACTGTTTTTCTCTTCAGGGAAGGAATATGAAGTTTTTGAACTTGAGGCCCAGCTAAGGACAACTGCATCAATTGTGCATCCGCTGATTCAGTAATGCCATCCATCTGGCATCAAATTACAATTCATTGGGAGGTATTCTTTTCTTTTTAAAAAATTTGGAATCAAACAATGAATATATTGTATGCACTAAGTATACACTTGTCATGCCAGTTAAATAAATCTATTCAGATGTAAACTCAAAATGTTTCACCTGGATTTGCCATTTCTGAATCACATTTCATATCTAATCCTGAAAGACAACTAGGAGCTGCCATGTTCACAGATTTAACTGCAAGTATAGAAAGACATAGCCTATGATGTTCAAGGGTGGCTTTTATTGGGAGGGGCTACTATGTCAATGGATTACTACCAGAATTTCTTTCTTCAAATGCAACATTTGCACTGTGGTCCTGCATAAATACATCTGAATAAGACTGAATATCTCAGTTTCTTATAGAAGCCACATGGCATTAAATGTCTCCATGCCATATTGTGTCAGGATATAACCTGATGTCTCACTGTGACTGATGCAATGGCTCAGTAGTGTTACTGGAACACTGTTTGATCTCCAACATTCCCCACAGACTATCATTTCATCTGACATGGAGATCGCAGTTGGTGGATTCCTTGTAGCCTTGTTGCATAGACAAACACAGAATCTATACAGTGTGGAAACAGGTCATTCAGCCCAACAAGTCCACACCGACTGTCCGAAGAGCATCTCACCCAGACTCACACCGACTGTCTGAAGAGCATCTCACCCAGACTCACACCTCCTACCTTTTCCCTATAACCCTGTATTTCCCATGGCTAATCCGTCCAACCTACACATCCCTGGTCACTAAGAGCAATGTAGCATAGCCAATCCACATAACCTGTACATCTTTGGACTGTGGGAGGAAACTGGAGCACCCAAAGGAAACCTACGCAGACATGGGGAGAACGTGCAAACTCCACACAGACAGTTGCCCAAAGCTGGAATCAAACCCGGGTCCCTGGTGCTGTGAGGCAGCCGTGCTAACCACTGAACTACCATGTCACCCAATAAGAACAGCAACAGTCAGCAGCTGCCGTATAGTCTCCTGAGGGTGCAGCAGCATGTGGACACGACCCAAGCAGGAGGAGGAGAATGACCAGATACTGCATATACTGATCTCGCTGTCATTTTCTTACAGCTCTTAGATACCAGCACAGGTGCTGACTAGGGATCAAAAACAGAAATTGATGGAAAACCTCAGGTCTGTAGAAAGATATCAGAGTTAACGTTTCAGGTTCAGAGACCCTTCCTCAGAACTTGCTGACTAAGGATGATCTGGCCCATTAGCACTGATGTGTGTTATCTACTTAAGCAGGACTTGAACTCAAAAAGGAGTGGGTGGCAATTTCTTCTGATGGTCGTCATTACAGCTGCCTTGATTTTTATGGTCAGAGGTCAGACAACACGAGATTATAGTCCAACAGATTTATTCGAAATTACAAGCTTTCAAGCTCTGCTCCTTCGTCAGGTGAAGTGACTTCACCCGACATATGAGCAGCACTTCAAAAGCTTGTGATTTCAAATAAACCTGTTGGAGCAGCGCTCAAAAAGCTTGTGATTTCAAATAAACATGCTGGACTATAACCTGGTGTCATGTGACATCTGCTCTTGCCCACCCCAGTCCAACACCGGCACCTCTACATCTTGAATATTTATGCCAGTGGTTTGTTTCAAGAAATAAGACTTGTGTAAAATTTCCCAAACCTCAAACGTAAAGGCATCCAGGATGTCACTGATTTTACTTTCTCCAAGTTACATCTTCTTATATCCTCCCCTCAGCTGAAGCAACCCAGATAGTGGGATTTTCCACCAAAGGGCTAGGCCCTTTAGACTGTACTCTCATTTCTTGGAGAGCATGCTATCTGCAAACTGCAGGGTCTTGCAGTGAAGTTCACAAATGATGTGCTGCATCACTATGGAATGTTGTGTCCTTCACAACTGCAGCTAACAAAGAGGGGTTGTTCTGGACACAGGAAATAGAGAATGATAATCAGAACATTGAGCAGGAGAGACATCCAAGACAGCATGGTAGTGCTATGTACCACTGAGCATGAGAAGCCAGACAAAACCTAACTGAAGCCCATTTCCATGGTGAATGGGCTGGATTTGGATTTCCTTTCATTGTGTAACTTACTTTTGGTTATATGGCAAGTGGGACATGGTCAATCCGCTGTAAATGTGGATCTAATTATTTTTGCAGTCCTTAAATTTTCTGTTGTTGAATAATTGCTTTTCTTATCAGTGTGATTGGATACTTAGTATCTCTGGGTATTCCCACTTACATGCACCCACAGTCTACTCATTATTAAGGAGCAAGCATGAGGCAGTGAGAAAAGTACTAACTATTTCATGGCATTAAGGTTAGGCTGCCATAAAGCCTTGTATTGGTATATGATATCTGGGTGTCATGCAATGAAGTCTCTTATAATAGGCAGGTTGGGAGTAATCCTGAGGTATCGCCTTTCCACCCTTCCTTCATTGGTTAGCCTTCAACGTTTCACAGTTCACGCAGACTGCTAAGTTGCTCTGAAGTGCCTGAGAATGCTGAAGGATTATGTTTAACCTGAAAGGGACACAGCAATGCATCATAAGAGCACATAGACATGTTAAATTCCTGCAGTCTGAACACCTCAAAGCAGTGCATTCCTTGGGAAATAACAGATAGAAAAAAACATTGCTTCCAGAGATCTCTAGAATCATCATTGATTCTGTAATCTCACTCATAAGGCAGGTGTAAAGTGTGGGTGATGTGTGTTGGGCAGGCTCTACCACAATCGCTGTACACTGCTTTTAGCCTCCACATTGTCCATTTAAAGTGCAAATGCACAATTACAGGAACAGGAGGCAGTGTGCAAACTGGATCCAAGGTTGGAAAAATCCACCAATGTTAGGAGTTCTGTACTGGCTCCAGCATGCATATGTCTGGCTGGCATCGACAGGCTGGTTAGAGCCATGGAGACCCATGGCTTCAGTCATCAACATCATGGTTCAAGGATCCCAGATCTCTGAGTGTACCTGAATTCAAGGAGGCAGTTGCCTGTCAGAGAGGAGCAACACTTGGTCATTACAATTTTTCCAACATTGGAACATCTGGAGAGGTTGCTCACCTGTCAAAAGACTACACTGGGTTCGACAGCAACAAAAACATTAATGAAAACATTTTAAGAGCACAAGTGAATACATATTTACAAAAATACACAGTTATTTACAGTGATCTGTCGCACATGCCACTCATGCGCTGTCAGAGAGATATTTTTCTTCCCTTTAATACAATTCCAATTTCTGCAAGTGGGGTGGAGGGAGCCTGCTCTCTAGTTGCTATTGTTGGACTGGAAGAGTTGACTGGCCATCCCTAGGTGCAGAGATAGTAGGAACTGCAGATGCTGGAGAATCTGAGATAACAAGGTGTAGAGCTGGATGAACACAGCAGGCCAAGCAGCATCAGAGGAGCAGGAAGGCTGACGTTTTGGGCCTAGACCCGTCTTCAGAAATCCTGAGGGAGGAGGGTAACTTCTTCAAGGTAGGCATCCTTAGAAGAGGCTTCGCAGTGGGGTTAAACTTGTTTCAGAGATAGTAGGAGCTGCAGATGCTGGAGAATCTGGGATAACAAGGTGTAGAGCTGGATGAACACAGCAGGCCAAGCGCATCAGAGGAGCAGGAAGGCTGACGTTTCGGGCCTAGACCCTTCTTCAGAAATTTCTGTCCCTCATCACACAGTTCAATTGCTAGAATAAATATAGGTCTCATTTACGCAATATGTCTACAACATCAGGAATATGAGAACAGCATGCAACAAGGGAAGGTTTTTTGCTGATCAAGAGACCGCAATGCCAGCAGCAAGCAACTCCAGAGAGAGAGAGAGACAGAAAGGGAGAGAGATTGGTCAGGAAATGTATTGTAGAAGATGGGCACAGCACTTTGAAAGCAAAGTGATGGCCGTGATATAGAGTCTACCATTTTGACCATGAGGCTCTTTTATAGCCCAACAATGGTAGCACTGTCAACCAATAGCAAGTTTTGCCATTGAAAATCTCCCACTACGATGCAGTCACATCTGTTTCTCAGTACTCTGCCAGAATCCAGATTTTTATTTAAAATGGCAACGAAGCAGAAAGACGAAGTGAACTGTTAAAATTTCGGCTACTAATTCTGTTTCCTTCCAAACATGCTGCTTGACGTGCTGAGTATTTCCAGTGCAACTTTTTCCTTATTTAGGAGAACCTGGCAATAATACATGCATATTGTCTCATATTCTCTATACCTTGTCTACTTCGTGGCATTGAAGCTGAATACTGGGGATGCTTCGGGGTTCATTATTTTGATTCAGGGATTGTATTCTGTGCCTTAATTGCAACCCTCTCCCAATATCAAAAATGGGCTTGTCAACATTTCTATTTCATTACTTTCCCATCAATGACCTGAAGAGCATACTGAGCATTCAAAAAAAGTACAGCATTATAATCTGATTTAATGTTTTCATTTATGTAATAATGTACCTAAGAAAGCGTATGCAATGTGCCTTAATCATTACCGCCCAGTGGTTCTGACCTCATAATCATGAAGTGCTTCGAGAGGCTGGTCATGGGCCACATCAACTCTAGTCTCCCAGCCTACCTCAATCCCCTACAATTTCCCAACTGACATAACAGGTCCACAGTGCATGCCATTTCCCTAGCCTGTACTCATCCCTGGAACATCTAGACAACAGAGACACCTGCGTCAGACTCCTGCTCATTGACTACAGCTCCACCTTCAGCACCATTATCCCATCCAGACTGATGTCAAAACTCTGTGACCTCTGTCTCAGTTCCACCCTCTGCATCTGGATCCTCAGCTTTCTGACCGACACACCGCAATCAGTGAAGATAGGTAACTACACCTCCTCTACAATTACACTCAACACTGGAGCACCCCAAGGATGCGACCTCAACCCCCACTGTACTCCCTGTACACCCACAACTGTGTTGCCAAATTTCAAATGAACACCATCTACAAGTTCACTGACGACACCACTGCTGTGGGACGGATATCTAAAAACGATGAGTCAAAATACAGAAGGGAGATAGAGGGCTTGGTGACGTCATGTAATGAAAACAACCTCCCTCTCAATGTCAGTAAAACTAAAGAACTGATCATTGACTTCAGAAAGAAAGGAGGAAAACACGCCCCCATCTACATCAACGGAACTGGAGTGGAGAGGGTAGAGAGCATCAAGTTTCTCAGAGTGATGATAACCAACGGCCTGTCCTGGACTTCCCACATAGATGCAACAGTCAAGAAGGCACAACAACGCCTCTTCTTCCGCAGACGGCTCAGGAAATTTGGCACGTCCGTAAGGACCCTCACCAACTTCGAGAGATGCACCATTGAAAGCATACAAGTAGTTCTCCTATCATGCAACAGTTGCATTCTTGTGCGACCTTGCGCTATAGAAAATCACACCACAGAAAATCACGTTATAGGGAAATCGCTATATCTGTACAGCAGAAAGTTTGCGTTAACCAAACAGCATCCAATATTCATCAATCACATTACAGCCAATTCGCATTTACAATACACGCATTACAGCAGAACTACCCTGTACTGTCCGGGTGCATAACGGCCTGGTGTGGAATCTGCTCTGCCCAGGACTGTAACAAAGTACAGAAGATGGCACAGCCCAGACCATCACAGAAGCCAACCTTCCATCTATGGACTCCATTTACACAGCTCGCTGCCACGGGAAGGCTGCCAACATCATCAAAGACCCATTGCACCCTGGTAATGATCTCGTACAACCGTCAGGCAGAAGGTTCAGAAGCCTGAACACACACACAAGCAGGTTTAGGTACAGCTTCTTCCCGGCCGTTATTAGACTGATGAATGGAGTTTCCAGCCTAAAATAATGTAATCTGTATGTCTCTGTCTAAATCTTTTTGATCTGTACAACCTTGCTTACTATAATCTGCCTGTACTGATCGTAAATAAAGCTTTTCACTGTACTTTGGTATACGTGACAATAAATCAATCAATTCAGTTCAATTTAATTCAACATTGACCTACCCTTTACTTTTAAGGTGGCTGAGGTCTGTTGAAACCCTGAATCACAGATATATTCTCCAGCATCTTCTGGTTTTAAGTTGTGAATAATCAACTCAATCATGGAACCTTTTTGTTTCATTTCATGCTTGTTACTTGAATGAAGTACTGAAGATTCCTTTTTCCATTGGACAAGAGCATCATGTTTAGTAATTTCACAACACAAAGACACCGAACTGCCTTCTTCGGCTTCGTTACTCTGAAGCCCTTGTTTGAAGAGTACAGGCAAGGCTAAAGATCACAAAGATTTCAATCATTTAGCATAAGATAATAAATCAGGTCAACACCAAACTTTCCATTCCAGTAATGATCTTACTTCAAAATAATTCAACTAAGTATTTGTCCATTTGTGCTAAGTCATACTTTTATTATTGTTGTAATATGTATCACACATTTTCAAAACTATCTTTCCATTTGAGAACTTTACTTCATAGCCTCTATGCATGGTTTAATTTCATAGCAATTTGTCTTTTAAAAACAAAGATAGAAGTAAGCTGTTCATTTTTAATTCAATTATCATTTTATGAGGGTAATTGTGGTAAATTATCCACTCAAATGATTACAGCTCTCCATTCCAGAAATCATGTAATCGTTGTTTGCAAGTGTTGTCACTAATTAATACAGCACCTAAACCAAATTTCTTAAACACCTTAATTGCACCTTTGACTTTTTACCAGACAGGTCATATGCATTCATGCATTTGCATTACTTTGCACTCAATACGTAAAATAGTCAAAATAAAGTTTATAATTATAGAGTAATACAGCATAACAGCCCCTTCAGCCCAAACTGGTCCATGCTGACCATGGTGCCCACTCAGCTAGTTCCAATTGCCTGCATTTATCCCTCTAAACTCTTCCCATCCATGTGCCTATCCAAATGTTTCTTAAATGTTGCTATTGTACCTGCCTCATCCACTTTCTCTGGCAGCCCATTCCATAGCCCACCACTCTCTGTGTGAAGAAGTTGTCCCTCAGTTCCTTCTTAAATCTTTCCCCTCTCACCTCAAACCTATGCCCTCTAGTTTTCAATTCTCCATCCCTGGGAAAAAGACTATATGCATTCATCCTATCTATGCCCCTCATGATGTTATACACCTCAATAAGGGCATCCTCATTCTCCTGTGTTCCAAGGAATAAAGTCCTATCCTGGCCAGCCTCTCCCTATAACTCAGACCTACTAGTCCTGGCAACGCCCTTGTAAATCTTTTTTGCACATTTTCCAGTTTAACTATGTCTCTCCTATAACAGAGTGACCAAAACTGTAAACAATGCTCCACATGCAGCCTCACCAATGACTTATACAACTGTAACATAACATCCCATATCCTATACTCAGTGCCTCGAACAATCAAGGCCAGCATGCTAAATGCCTTCTTCACCACCTTCTACCTGTGACTCCGCTTTCAATGAGCTATGTACTTGTATTCCTAGGTCCCTCTGTTCCACAACACCCCTCAGAACCTTACTATTTACCATATAAGTCCATCTTTCATTGCATTTGCGAATCCTCAGCCCATTTCCCTATCTGGTGAAGATTCCTCTGTAATTTTTTGATAACCTTTTTTGCTATCAACAATACCTCCAAATTTTGTATCATCCGCAAACTTACTAATCATGCCTTGTACATAAACATCCAGATCATTTTTTTAAATAACAAATAACAAAGGTCCCAGCACTGATCTTTGTGACACACCACTGGTCACAGGTAATACAGTGTGGAGCTGGAGGAACACAGCAGGTCAGGCAGTATCAGAGGAACACAAAAGTCGACGTTTTGGATCAGAACCCTTTATAAGGACTAGTCACAGGCCTCCAGTCGGAGAAACAACCGTCAACCATCACCCTCTGCTTCCTACCATCGAGCCAATTATGAATCCAGTTGGCTAGCTCTCCTTGGGTCCCATGCGATCTAATTTTCATGACTAGCCTGCTGTGCAGAGCCTTACTAAAAGTCCATATAGACAACACCCACTGCCCTACCCTCATGTATCCTCTTGGTTATCTCTTCGAAAAACTCTAAATGATTTGTCAGACATGACTTCCAAAACAAAATTCCATGTTGACGATCCTTAATCAGACCTTCACTATCCAAATGTTGATTGATCCTGTCCCTCAGTATCCTCTCCAATAACTTGCCTACCACTGATGTCAGGCTCACTGGCCTGTAGTTTCCTGACCTGTCTATGCTACCTTTCTCAAACAATGGAACAACATTAGCCATCCTCCATCTTCCGGAACTTCACCACTGGCTAAAGACGAAGCAAAAATCTCTACAGTTTCTTCCCTAGCCTCCCATAAGGTCCAATGATGGACTTGATCAAGCCCAGGGTATCCATCTCAATACGCTTTAAGGCTGCAAACACATCCTCTCTGGCAATATGAATGTGGTCCAAAGCATCGCCACTTGTTTCCCTTATTTCCATGATTCTCTCCTCAGTAAATACGGAGGAGAAATATTCATTAAAAATCTCTCCCCATCTCCTGTGGCTCTACACATGCTGATCTTTAAGGGGACCTATTCTCCCCATAGCAATCCTTTTAATCTTTATATAGCTATAGTACCTCTTGGGATTAACTTTAACCTGATCTGACAGATCCATCTCATACCCTCGTTTTGCTCTTCTGATTTCCCTCTTAAGTGTGCTCCTACACTTTTTATAGTCATCTAAGAATTCACTTGAGCCCGCTAGCTTAAACCCAATGTATCAGAGATAGTAGGAACTGCAGATGCTGGAGAATCTGAGATAACAAGGTGTAGAGCTGGATGAACACAGCAGGCCAAGCAGCATCAGAGGAGCAGGAAAGCTGACGTTTCGGGCCTAGAC